GGTGGCAGGCGGTGACTGGAGTGGACGAATGATGTGAGATGGGCTGGCCTCGCCGCCGCCTCCCAGGGAACTGGGTCCCCAGCCACCTCCATGGCCCGAGAGTGCGGGGGAATGGCCGGTACTATAGCTGAGTGAGGGGCTGGCTGTGGGCAGCCCCTGGGAGTGGGCAGCTGGCCCTGGGTATGGCTCACCCTGTACCCCATACAGTTGCCCCTGCAGCTGGTCCGGGGAGTAGCTCTGACATGTGGCCAGGCCAGGAGGGGGGCCACTGGGGGGCTGTGGAGGGCCCCCTGAGTAGCTGGGGCCTTTGCTCAAGTCCTGTGCCTGCCCCCCTCCAAACCCTTGACCATAGGCCTGGGGTCCCAGAAGCCCTTGGGGCTGACCAGGGGAATAAGCCTGGCCCCCTGCCCCTCCAGCCCCAGAGGCCTTCCCAGTGGCATAGGCGGCTGCCGGCCCACCCAGGCTCTGGCATTTGGGGGTGGCGGTCGAACGGGGTGGTGGGGGCCTGGTGGCACCCCCGGCAGCTGCTCCATAACCACCTTTGCCCGTCTTGTACCCAGGCGACTGAATGATGGGGCGGTAACCTCCGCCACCACCCCCGGCCCCACCACCCCCTGCCGCCTCAGGGCCCGTAGCCCGGCCTGATGCCCCTGCCGTGGCTCCACTGGGACCAGCCTTACTAGGCTCCCCAGCACCCGGAGAGGGCTCCCCACCACCCAGGGGGCTGCAGGCCAGGTTGGCCCGGTGGCCCATGGAGGGGTAGCTGCCTCCACAGCTCAGGTAGTGCTGGAGGGCATGGGCTGGTGGCGGGGGCGGTGGGGGCTGGGCACTGGCCGGCCGCTGGTAGTGCTTGATGACCGTGTCCTGGCGGGGCAGGGCCCGCTCAGGCGGCGGGGGGCCTGGGGCAGCACCGGAGAAGCTGTAGAGCTGTGGGGAGGACTGCTCAGCGGCGGCGGCGGCAGAAGAGGAAGCCAGCAGGTTGAACTGAGTTGGGAGGTGGCGAGGAGGTGGTGGGTCTGGGGGACCAGGGCGGTAAGGGGGGGTCTGGGCTGGACCGAGACCAGCTGGCCCCAAGACACCGCCCCCTGCCAGGCGCTCAAAGCCCAACGAAGAGGGCACCGTGGGTGCCTGCGAGGGCTTCAGGTGCAGCACGTCATGGGGGGACAGGAGCCCGTTAGCTGGAGGGCTGAATGGGGGGGTCCTGGAGGCTGAGGGATGAGGGCACTGGGAAGGGGCGGCTGCCGAAGGAAGCCGGGTGCTGGTAAGCCGACAGGGCGGAGGAGGATGGAAAGGTGCTGGAACCCGGCAGGGCGCCCGAGATGAAGAGCTCCGTGGGGCCTGGCGTGTGCATCGCTGGAGATGAGGAAGACGGAGGGTGAGAGAGGACAGCAAGCCAGCCCCACCCTGGCCCTGCAGGGACGGCGCTGGGCTTACCTGTTTGCCAGGAAGGACTGCGGAACTGGGAGAGGAGAGAGGAGGCGGAGGGGCCAGGCTGGGGGCCCCGGGATTCCAGGGCCGAGATGAGGTTCATGACGGAGGCGTCGGGCCCTGCTGAGCCCGCGTGGTGGAGGCCAGTGTCGAAGAGTCCAGAGAGGCCTGGCCGGGGACAGGGGGTAGAGTCAGCCAGGTTGGGATGCGTAGGGCAAGGTCAAGAGAGAAAGGGAAGAGGCCAAAGGCAAGGTGGATCAGGAAAAGGAGGGGAGGAAAGAGAAAAAGGACAAATTCAAAGAAGAGAAAATGGACAGAACCAAGCTAATGAGACAGGAATGAGGGGAGGGAAGGGGGAAAGGTGAGACAGCAAAGCAGGACAGCAGACAATCTAGTCAAAAGGGCAGGGGGCCCAGGTAGGAAATGGTAGACAAAAGCGTAGAAAAATCTAGAAGTGAAAGAGCCAGGGGCAAAAGAGCAGAGTCCTCAGTAAGGACAGGAGGGAAACCAAATTTGTGTATTTCCAGCAAGTTAAGAGCAAAGGACGGTACGACTGGAGTCTCAGAAAGACCAGAGGACGAATCAAAAGGGATTGCACCCCGTGGGACGATTCAGAGAAAAAGATGGGAAGACAAAAAGTGAAGGAGCCAATCAGGAGGGTCGAGGGTCAAACTGGACAGCATCACGTCATTGCCGGTACCCCGAGGAAGCGGGAACCAATCAGAAACCTTGGAGGCAAAGACAAGAGGGTAAAATAAGGCAAAGGGGCAAAATTTAAGAAAAAGAGGGTGGGCCAGATCATTGGAGCCAATCAGGAAGAAAGGGAATCAGGAAGAAAGAATTCAGAGTTGCAAGGAGCCAAAATAATAGGGCAAACCCAGAGGGAAAGAATTGGGGTGGGCTGGAGAGAGGCGGAAAAGCCTGGAAGAGAAGGTGGGATTTGGGGGCTGATGGGACGGGGCCAATTGGAGCGAAAGGGGCGGGACGAGGCAGGGGCGGACGAATCCGGCGAGAAATGAAGCAGGGACCAGCAGTCTCAAAGGCAACCAATCAGAGGAGACCCAGCAAGGGGCGGGCCACGGCAAGGGCCACGTCCAATTAGGAGGGGTGGAACTTTCAAGAGCCAATCAACTGCTTCGGGAGGAGGGCTAGCCCAAAAGGGGCGGGACGGGGGCCGTACCTGCCGGGTGGTGGTTGGTGGCATAGCTTTGCAGTGGGTGGGGGGCCGCGTAGGCCTGGCGGTGTAAGATGTCCGTCTCGGGGTGCGAGGTCCTGGAGCTGCCATAGACTAAGCTGGGGGGAAAGGGTAGACGTCAGGGGGTTCTCCTAAGCTGCCTTCTCAGAAGGGAGCTCAGGAAAACCCCCAGGAAGTTGGGGGGACACTTCCAGCTGACCGGGGTGGGGGGTGTTAAGCTTAGACCTTAAAGGGGAGAATCGGGGTGCCCAACTCAAAAGCCATAGAAATGGTCCACACTCCAGACCCCGGATAGTCGCGTTTACAAACAGGCATGCTCAGAGACGACACTGACACACAGAAGAGGGTCCAAGGCAGAGGAAGTGTCTTGAGGTGCAAATGTGAGCCCTCCCCCATCGACCCCACCGACCACCCACCCCAGCCCTCGTGCCGGCGACACAGGCCGTAGGGCCAACCCCAGAGGTGTGTACATGGGTGCCCCCTGTTCCGTAGACACATGGGAACACAGGCCTTGAACTTCGTGGGGTGGTGCAAAACAAGTTGTGAGCAGAAGGCAGATCGGTCCCCAAGCAGCAGCGGTGGCGGGGTGGAGAGAAGAGGGAATAAGACCCGGGGAAAGTACCAGGTACAAGTGTGAACAAGAACATCGTCCATCCCCGGGGGTTGAGGTTCAAATGCCTGGGCCCGTGCAATGCCAGGTATGTGTGCAAACGGGTATCCAACTCACCCGTGGGGAAGAAAAGATATAGACGGAGGAGTCCCACACGGAAAATCCTAACACACTTGGGGTTATGCCCTGGAGGGAAACCCAGGTGTGTCGGGGGGAGGTGCTTAGGGTCAGGTGAAGTGTGAAGTGTGAGGGCGCCACACCAAGAAGCAGCAGGAAAGGGGCAGATTCACAGGTGAACACGCTGCCAGCCCCGCACGCACAGGGCCCACGCTCATACACACAAACACCCGGGAAACATGAGACTCTTCTCATGCCCCAATCCGTGGCCGGACTCAAGAGGGCAAACCCTCCACTCCTTGCCATCAACTAGGATTCTCTGCCTTTGCGGGTGGGGGCATTAAAGGGGGCGTGTCCCAGATGTAAAGGGGGGGCGGACCCCCCCTTACACACAACCCCAGCTTAGGAAGGGGGCGGGGCTCCGTGCCCACTCTGCGCGCGGAATTTCTTGGGGGGCGCCTATCGGCGCGGCCTCGCACAATCCCGGAACAATAGGACCTGAGAGGGGGTTCGCGACCCCCAGATCTGCGTTCTAATTCTTCTCTTCTTCCCACCTTTGCAAGAGCAGTGCCTGGGGCGCGGGGGGGAGGGGTCACCAAGCCGGGAATCCAAGGATGGGGGGAAGTCCAGGCCTTGCTTCGCCAGTCCCTCCCACCTTCCCAAGGCCTTCCCGTCCGAAATTGTTTTGCACCCCCATTTTCCCGCTGCAATTCTCCCTTTGCATGCCGGAGCTGGCTTTGGCGGAGTTTGCAATTTGCAAACTGGGGCGGCGGCGTTGTTACAAACCAAGGAAGGCCGCTCCCTTGCAAGCCGGAGGGGAGTTTGCGATGCACGCGTCGCCGGGCGGGCCCGGCCCGGCCCGGCTGGGCTCCCACCCCTTGGCCCCTTTCTCCAGGCCACCCTCAGCTCCTTACCTAGCTTTCGCTGACCTCTCGTAACTCCATCCCGCCCCGGCGCCGAGCGGGTCCCCGAAGCCGGCGCTGGGGTAGTTCCTGTCCATGAATTGGCCGCGGTGGAAATTGGGGGGAGGGGGAGGGAGGGAGGGAGGGAGGGAGGGGGCGCGCGCGCGCTCTCCTCCGCCGCCGCTCCCTCCGCTGCTGCTTTTTTTTCCCCCCTTTTCTCTCTCTCTTTTTTTCTTTGCAGCCGCGGAAGGCCCGGGAAGGCCCCGGGCGGGGGAGGGAGGGGGCAGGGGCGGAGGGGCGGGCAAAGGAGGGGGTGCAGTCGCTGAGCCAAGGAAGGGGGAAGGGGGGGTTCCCCCTAGAGGAGGGAAGGGGGGAGGAGGGACCCCGCTGTCTCCGCCTTTGCCCCGGCGCTTGCGAGAGAAAAGGGGGGGCGCGCGCTTGGGAGGGGGCGTCCCGGGCGGCCCCGGGGTGGGTGCAGGCGATGGGTGCTCGCTCTCTCGCCGCCGCCGCCGCCGCCTCCTCCTCCTCTGCGCTCACGGTGCAGCCATCTTTGCACAAGGCGGCTGGGGGAGGGGGGAGGGGAAGGGGGGGCGGGCGGCGGGGTGTCTGGCTGCGCTCCGCTTCCTCCCACAATCCCGTGCAAATGCAAAAAAAAAAAAAAAAAAAAAAGAGAGAGTGAGAGAGACTGAGCGGGGCCTGCGGGTGTAGCGCGCGTTTGCACAGAAAACCAGTTCTAATGCGCCCGAGATCGCGATTCATGTCATTAGATTTTTTTTTTTCATTGTTTCTGCTTTATTTGGTCTCCTTTCCGAAGGGTTTTTATTTAGGGGAACACCTCAACTCCAGCTCCTTGGGTGTAGTGCGAGCCTGCCCGCACCGAGCACACTTGCGAATGCGCCCCCACTCTTTCCCTGGATTATGAAGCGCCCCTGTACCACAAGGGGAGTGCACAAAGACACTCGTGTGCACAGGCAGGGCTCTGCGTGTGCGTACCCTGTGGCACTGGAGGGCATGGTCAGGTCATTTGCTCACACATAAGACGGCACAGCCGGGACTTCGCTCCTGGGTACGAGTTTCCCCGTGCGTCTGTCTACCACCGGGGCGGGATTTGATTGGTGCCCTCACGGTCAGGAGAGTGTGGGGGCCCGTGAGGGACCAGGACACAGGAACATATTGCTGAGAACATATGTATATCCATACGCGGCGGAAATGCGTGTGCCAGGGCAGGCCTCGGGCCGGACGACCCCTATTCCCACTATCCCCCCTTCCAAGTCCAGCTTCGGAGTCTACGAGGCGTAGGGGCTTCCGGAATCCGGTGTGAATCAGGGTCGCGGTTCGGAGAGCCGGGTCTGAAAGCAGCTCTTCAGTGAGGCCTCCTGAGGCTGCAAGAGGAGAGACACACTAGGGAGTCAAAGATCCGGCTGGTTTTTTCCCCCCTCAATCAGGACCACTCCGACCGCCCTTGGCGTTTCAGCCAATCCCGGACCCTCTGGGCACAGGCCCCACCCTCCTATACTGCTCCGCACACACAACGCTGGGCCACGCCCCTAGACAATTGCATGGGGCTCCGCCCCAAGCCCCGCCCTAGATAATAAGGCCCAAATTTCAAGTCCCGCCCCTGAGCCCAGGTTCCACCTCCAACAGTGCCTAACCCTCTGCGCCCCGCCCCCGGGCAGAAGCCACGCCCCATACCTGCTGTAGGGGGGTGGAGGTGCGTCGTGTACCCCAGAGGCTGCCAGCGCCTGCTCATAGGTGGGGAGGCCTGGGGGTGGGGGTGGAGGCAGGGGCGTCGGTGGGCCCAGAGGGCTCAAAGGACTCAGAGGGCTGCTGAGCCCGGCCCTGGGGACAGCAAAAGTGCCGTTAGCAGAGGCAACTTACAAAATACCTACACGGGAGAAAAAGAGGGGATCTAGAAGACAGAGACTTTGAGGCTGACGCTGGGACAGAGCTGGAAGGGAAGTGGACCTGAGAAAAGGAGGGTCACCTTTAGCCTAGCCCTACACACAGAAAAGCGCCTCAAATGACAGGCAGCTGAGCACAGGCAGGCGCAGAAATCATCAACCAAAGAGACACTGTTATTCAGACACACTCACGTGCACCAGATACAGGCAGAGCAATGGAGAAAAAGACAGCCCTGCCGAGTGCATGGCGCACACCTGTAGCTCTAGGTCCTCAGGAGGCTGAGGTGGGAGGATTTATTGAACCCAGGAAATTGAGGTTTCAGTGAGCTGTGAACGGCCACTGCACTCCAGCCTGGGCAACAGAGTGAGACCTTGTCTCTTAAAAACAACAACAACAACAACAAAACACGTGTGATGTCTCACACCAGTAATCCCAGCACTTTGGGAGGCCGAGATTACCTGAGGTCAGGAGTTCAAGACCAGCCTGACCAACATGGAGAAACCCCATCTCTACTAAAAATATAAAATTAGCTGGGTGTGTGGCACATGCCTGTAATCCCAGGTACTCGGGAGGCTGAGGCAGGAGAATCACTTGAATCCGGGAGGCAAAGTTTGCAGCGAGCAGAGAGCATGCCATTATATTCCAGCCAGGGCCACAAGAATCAAACTCCATCTCAAAAAGAAAAGCCCTTCAGAGAGGCAGGCCAACACACACAGTAACAGACAGAACTCAGCCCATCCATAGAGACAGGAACACAACACAGATGTACTCCTCATCAATTTCCCACCCCCACTCAGGTGCTGCACTTGTCACCACTGAAGCTGACATTCCACAGACGCCCAGAGACCACAGGCTGCACAGTCACAGCCCACCAGGTACAGCATCCAGAGATACTGGTAATCCCAGTACCATAAAGACAGGCCGGCAGCAAAAGCGGAGAGAGATCCTACTGCAGTCTAGACAGACAGAGCAACAGACAGATGCCAAAACCAGACAGAAGCCAGCTCACAGACTCACTCTCCAAATGACTGTGTCCTCATTCTTCAGTGCCCACCTGACCCCAATCCTTAGCACATCTCTATAGGTCGACCCTTCCTCCCTCCCCTACTCTCCACCACCACCCCCTCCTCACTGAAGCCCCCTTACTCTTGGGGACAAGGCTGGTGGCCTCGGCGCCGTCGCCAATGCAGATACCAAAAGGCTCCCAGGCCGGCAAGAACAATGACCAGGATGCTACATGTCAGCCCCACAGCCAGGCCTGCCACATCCACTCCTCCACGCCCTGCAGGGAAGCAGGGAAGGGGAGCCACTGTCTCAGGAACTGTCACCCACCCCAATATCAAAATTCCTTCCCACTGAGGGAATAGAATGGACTGTGAAGCAGGCAGAGCTGGGGTCCCTTCCTAGCCCTGTGACTTCAGGCAATTCACCTCATTCCTTTCTCTGAGCCTCCACTGCCGGTTCTGTAAAATGGGAACCATAAAACCGGGCGCGGTGGCTCACGCCTGTAATCCCAGCTCTTTGAGGGGCTGAGGTGGGCAGATCACAAGGTCAAGAGTTCAAGATCAGCCTGACCAATATAGTGAAACCCTGTCTCTAAAAAAAAAAGAAAAAAAAGGGAACCATAACTTCTACCCTACTGTGAAAACTTAATGAGATCAGGCCGGATGCAGTGGCTCATGCTTGTAATCCCAGCACTTGGGAGGCCAAGGCAGGTGGATCTCTTGAGGTCAGGAGCTCAAGACCAGCCTGGACAACATGGTGAAACCCTGTCTCTACTAAAAATACAAAAAATTAGCTGGGTGTGTGGGTGAGTGTTTGTGTGCCTGTAATCCCAACTACTCAGGAAGCTGAAGCAGGAGAATTACTTGAACCTGGAAGGTGGAGGTTTCATTGAGCTGAGACCTTGACACTGCCCTCTAGCCTGTGAAACAGAGAAAGACTCTGTCTCAAAAAAAAAAAAAAAAAAAAAAAAAAGGTCAGGAGCAGTTGGTCATGCCTGCAATCCCAGCACTTTGGGAGGCCGATGCAGGTGGATCACGAGGTCAAGAGTTCAAGACCAGCCTGGCCGAGATGGTGAAACCCCATCTCTACTAAAAATACAAAAAAATTAGCTGGACATGGTGGCGGGTGCCTTGGGAGGCTAAGGCAGAAAATCGCTTGAACCAGGAAGTAGAGGTTGTGGTGAGCCGAGATCGCGCCACCGCACTCCAGCCTGGGTGACAGGGCAAAACTCCATTTCAGAAAAGAAAAAGGAAAATAAAAAACAAACACAAAAAATAAAATGCAAAAAACATTGCAAATTTAACTGGTAGCGGGGCTAGAAGGGGGAGGTTCCAGTGTTTTCTCTGGTAATTGTCTGCTCTGGAACGCAGTTCCTTTTTTTTGAGACTGAGTTTCGCTCGTTACCCAGGCTGGAGTGCAATGGCGCGATCTCGGCTCACCACAACCTCCGCCTCCTGGGTTCAGGCAATTCTCCTGCCTCAGCCTCCTGAGTAGCTGGGATTACAGGCACGCGCCACCATGCCCAGCTAATTTTTTGTATTTTTAGTAGATACAGGGTTTCACCATGTTGACCAGGATGGTCTCGATCTCTTGACCTCGTGATCCACCCGCCTCGGCCTCCCAAAGTGCTGGGATTACAGGATGCAGTTCCTTTTTACCAACCAGGCCATGGATCGGCAAGGCCTGAACTCTGAAGCAAGAACAGAATTGACAGGAACATTTCTGAGTTTACCAAAAAGCTGGAAAAAATTCACTTAACAATGGAAGAATCGGCAAGGCATAGGCCAGGCGCGGTGGCTCAAGCCTGTAATCCCAGCACTTTGGAAGGCTGAGGCAGGTGGATCACGAGGTCAAGAGATCGAGACCATCCTGGTCAACATGGTGAAACCCCATTTCTACTAAAAATACAAAAATTAGCTGGGCACAGTGGCGCATGCCTGTAGTCCCAGCTACTCAGGAGGCTGAGGCAGGAGAATTGCCTGAACCCAGGAGGCGGAGGTTGCGGTGAGCCGAGATCGCGCCATTGCACTCCAGCCTGGGTAACAAGAGCGAAACTCCATCTCAAAAAAAAAAAAAAAAAGATTGGCAAGGCATAGTGGCTCATGCCTGTAATCCAGCACTTTGGAGGCCAAGGCAGGAGGATCACTTGAGCTCAGGAGTTCGAGAGCAGCCTGGACAACACAGTGAGACCCCATCTTTACAAAAAAAATTTGTTTTAATTATCTGGGCATGGTGGTGCGTTCCTGTAATCCCAGCTATTCAGGAGGCTTAGGTGGAAGGATCACTTGAGCTGCAGTGAGCCGTCATTGTGCCACTGCACTCCAGCCTGGGCAATAGAGCAAGACCTCATTTCAAAAACAACAAAAAACAAATGAGGAATTTAGGGACCCCCCCAAAAAAAACATAACTAAGAATCTAGAACTCCTGCTTGACCTGTTACTAAGGTGCAGCCCTGTTTGTAATCCCAGGCCTCCAGTCTAAGGGCAAGGGGGTACAGGGAGCCGCTGGGCTTGAGGAGGCCTTGCCACTGCTTGCTCCTGGGGAAATTTCAATGGGCACTAGGTAGGCGGGCTTTCCTCCAAAAGTAAACCCCAGTCTTTTTTTTTTTTTTTTGAGATTGAGTCTCGCTCTTTCCCCCAGGCTGGAGTGCAGTGATGCAATCTCAGCTCACTGCAAGCTCCACCTCCAGGGTTCAAGCAATTTTCCTGCCTCAGCCTCTCGAGTAGCTGAAATCACAGCACACATCACCAGGCCTGGCTAATTTTTGTATTTTGAGTAGAGATGGGGTTTCACTACGTTGGCCAGGCTGATCTCGAACTCCTGATCTCAGGTGATCCACTTGCCTCGGCCCCCCAAAGTGCTGGGATTACAGGCATGAACCACTGCATGCAGCCTCAGTAAACCCCTTTAGAAAAAAGCACAAGTGCGGCTTCAGAAGGCAGGTTCTCCTGATTTGGGTACCTTCAGGTGGATTCAAGGAGCCACCAGGCCTCGCGAGGCTTGTTGGGAAGGAGTTACCTCCCCTAGCAACCAGGCTCCAATGTGAGGCGCCAGTCCAGACCTAGGGCCTGTTGCTAAGGTGCATCTACCCCTAGCAACTGGGCCACAAGGGGGTGGGGCTTTGGGGGCCCACAGGGTGGTCCTCCAGTGGGCAGAAGGCCTTGGGTCCTGAAGCCTGGCTAGGTGTGGTTGCTAGGGAGAAGGCCTCCTTAGCAACCAGGCAGCTGCTGGGATGGGGCTGTGGGGGAGGGGAAACCAGTCAGGTACTGCTTCAGGCTTCTTCATCTGGTCTGGCCTGGCCAGGCCCCGTTGCTAAGGAGCAGCCCCCCTTAGCAACAAGGCTGCCAACAAGATAGGGCTTCAGAACGCAGAGGAGGGGTTGTGGGGGGCAAAATGGGCAGGTGAGGACGGGCAGGCTTCCTCCCTTGGTCCTGTTGCTAGAGGGCAGTGTCCCCAGCAAGCAAGCTGCGGAGGGGCTGGTCTTTCCACTTACTCTGGACTCAGGTGGGGCTGCCCACTCTGAGCCGAAGGCCTGACAGACCACACAGCTCTATCCTTTCCTTCCACTGACACTTTTCCCTTCCTAGGGACACGGGACCTGCATCCAGTAAGATGTGGTGGGGCCTGGCACCTGTCATCCCAGCACTTTGGGAGGCTGAAGCAGGAGGACTGCTTGAGACCAAGCATTCAAGACCAGCCTGGGCAACACAGACCCCGTCTCTACAAAAACTACAAAAATTGTCATTGTGGTGTGTGCCTGGAATCCCAGTTTTATTTATTTATTTATTTTTATTTTTTAAAGACGGGGTTTCACCATGTTGGTCAGGCTGGTCTTGAACTCCCAACCTCAGGTGATCCGCCCCCCTTGGCCTCCAAAGTGCTTGGATTACAGGCATGAGCCACCACACCCGGCCTCTGGAATCCCGGTTAATCAGGAGACTGAGGTGGGAGGATCGCTTGGGCCTGGGAGGTTAAGGTTGCTGTGAGCCAAGATTGTACCACAGCACCCAGCCTGGGTGACAGAGCGAGACCCTATCTCAAAAATAATTAAAAATAAAATAATAAGACGTGGGGGGCTCCTCAGACAAACTGGGATTTTTTTTTTTTTTTTGAGACGAAGTCTTGTACCATCACCTAGGCTGGAGTGCAATGGCATGATCTCAGCTCACTGCAACCTCTGGCTCCCGGATTCACACAATTCTCTTGCCTCAGCCTCCCGAGTAGCTGGGATTACAGGCGTGTACCATTACACCCGGCTAATTGTTTTGTATTTTTAGTCACTATGTTGGCCAGACTGGTCTTGAACTCCTGATTTTGTGATCCACCTGCCTCGGCCTCCCAAAGCGCTGGGATTACAGGTGTGAGCCGCCGTGCCCGGCGTCAAGCTGGGGTCTTAAGGGAGGGGACTCCTTTAGTAAGCAGCTTCAGGGAGCACAGAATTGGGGGGCAGACAATTCTTGTCCCTAATTTGGTGTGGGGGACATTGGTTTGTCCTCCCTGGGAAGGGGCTGCCTTAGCTGCACAGAACAAGATGGCTTCAGTCCCCGACTCACCTCCTTTCCCATTGTAGATGTAGCTCTCCCAAAAGTGCTCCTTGAGGGGAGACGAGTGGAAAAAAGAGGAAAGCGGCAATTCAGCTGGAATGTTCACCACCCAAATGAGCCCACCCTGATTTCTGAGATGGGGCGGAGGGAGTTGAGGGCCAGAACATCCCCGCGACCTCCCCGCAGGTATAGAGAAGACAGGGGGCCCTAACCTCCAGGGTCTCGAGGCCCTCACCGTGAGAGTGTCGTCTTCAAAATACTCCCTGGCCTCTTCCCAGGAACACTTCTCTTCCAGACACTCCCGTTCCAGGTTCCCCGGTGTGAACAGCTCCAGGTCCCAGTGATTGGCTCTTCGAATCCGGGTACGGCGACTCAGGAAGCTCTGGGCCTCTGGGGGACCCAGGAAGACTTCTGGGCCCAAAGACATGAGAGAGAGAAAAACGGAGGGTCCCTAGGGCCGGAGTCATAGGGGGATGGGGAGCAGTGGGGTCCTGGAGGAAGGAGGAGGGGCTGGGAATCCAGACTCCTGGGTCTGATGGAGGAAAGGGCCAGGCCGTGGATTCCTGGAAGAGGAGGGGACTAGAGGCAGGCCCTCCTGAGTCGGGGGAGGCCAAGGTCAAGTGCCTGGACACTACTTCCCCCAAACACTCACCTTGGTCTTTCTCCCCACTGGGTGAAGTATTGAGGCAGGTGGTAAATCCCATGTAGAGCAGCAGCAGAGAGGGGCGGCCCCTCATATTTTGTGGACACCTAGAAGCAGGTGTGTTACAGCTGACAAGGGCCTTAGTCCCTGGGTAATGAGGCAGTGTCTCTCTGACTGGCCTCTGTGGTCCATAATGATAATATAACAGTGGACAGCTACCCAACCAGACACTGTTTACCTATATACACTCATTTTACTTTTCTTTTCTTTTGAGACACAGTCTCCCTCTGCCATTCAGGCTGAAGTGCAGTGACGCTATCTCAGCTCACTGTGACCTCCGCCTCCTGGGTTCAAGCGATTCTCCTGCCTCAGCCTCCCGGGTAGCTGGGATTACAGGCGCGCAACACCACACCCAGCTAATTTGTGTAGTTTTAGTAGAGATGAGGTCTCACCATGTTGGCCAAGCTGGTCTCAAACTACTGACCTCAAGTGATCGGCCCGTCTCGACCTCCCAAAGTGTAGGGATTACAGGCATGAGCCACCACACATAGCCAGGAATCCTATTATCCTCAATTTTAGAGGAGAGAAAACTGAGGTGCAGAGAGGTAAATTAACTTGCCCAAGGTCACACAGTGTGCAAGTGTGAGGGCCAGGATTTCAGTGAAGGCAGTGTCCACCAGAGAATAGAGCAGGGAGCTTATCTTTTTCTCCACTGTGTCTACAGCACCCGACCCAGGTGCTCATAAACATGTCCACTGGTGATCTGGACTCTTCCCTTCCTGGTAATTTCCACTTGTGCTTCTGTGTTCATTGTCACATCCATGCACAGACAACAAAGATTATGACAGAGGCAGAGGCCAGGGATTAAATATATTCTTGGGGGACCTAAGGGGGCAGGGGCCCTGGACTCCTAAGCCTAGGAGCCCCAGACTTCTGGGTCTCAGAGGGGCGGGGAACCAGGATGCCTGGGTCCCCAAGCCAAGCTCTTCCTCTGGGAACATTCACTTACCTGCCCAGACCTGTGAGCACTGCCCCTTCCACTTCAATCCGGACCTCCTTGGCTAGCTACAGCCACCTGTGAAGGGGGACAGGGAAGAGGGGAGGGTGGAGGAGGGGCGCCCCACTCCCGGTAACCAGGCCCGATCCCGGTTTCTGGCAGAGGGGCGGAGCTTGTTATTACCTGTCCTGGGCGGGACTCAGGTAAGGGACAAAGTATTTAAAGGGACCTTGGGATAAAGGACTTAAAGGCCGGAGCTCCCTGGGGGAGCCAAGGTGTCTAATACCTTGGGGCACTTGGGAGATGGGATTCGACCCTCCTCCTTTTTCCTCCCGACCCCTAACCGCTCCGCCTCTCCCCTGGGTGTTCGCCTGGCCAAGCTAGAAAAATCAATGTCTCCAGATATCAAGGTCTCTAGATATGCAGAAACTGGCGGGAACGATGTGCCGTAGTTCCTGGGACAGCTGAGCAGTGCTGCAGTAAATCCCTGTTTCCTGAGGGCGACTGAAACGGCTTTCCCTTTCCATTTCCAATGGTTCTGTCCATAAAATGGGAGTGCAGTTGTCCCTTCTCCATTGTGTTTTAAGATGCAGCAAGAAAAGTGGATGATATATTTGGGAAAGAGGGCTTCCTAATCTCTAGGGGAAGTGGTTAGTCCTCAAATTTGGGCTTGGAGAAACTCAAAGCCTGGGCATCAAACAAGAAAAAACTAGCTCCCTGGGAAATGCCTAGTACATACTAAGCGTTCCCCATAGTCCCACCAGTTTCAATAACCGGAACCTTCGATTTGCCACTCACGTTTCCGGAGGGAGAAAGAGGAGACGAGAGGACTTGAAGAAGCCGGGCGAGGCACTTCCGCAACTAGGGGCACCTCTGCTTCCTGTGCCTTCGGCAGGGCGGAAGTGGGCGGAGCGGAGAGGGTAACCGGTGCTCCTTTCCGGTGTCCGGGCACAGTTGAAGAGGCGACCCAGGAACTGAGAGTCGTTCTTGAGGTGAGTTCGAGACGGTGTAGGAAGAGTGTTGCTGGGATCGCTTTCCTGCGGGCTAGAGGTCTGGGGTCTTGAGGGAGACCTGGGCAAGATTTTGGATTCCCGACTCCCTGTCGATCATTATTAATAGAGCTGTACGGGCGCCCCAAGTTTGAAGCTGAACTACACTCCCCTGGAGGTGGCCAACCGTCCATTGGTCAGTTCTCTCTCTCACTGTCACTATAAACTCAGCCAAGTGGTAGCTAGCAACGGCCAGTTCTCCGAGAGTTACAGTTCCGCTGTAGATGGCTATTTGCCGGCGGTCCCAAGGGAAACAGTGGACTGGGATTGCTGGGGGTCTAAGGAGTGGGAGTTGAGGGAAGAGAGCTCCTTCTCTGGTCTCAGTTTCCCCGACTGTGGTGGCACGGCGGGCGATACTAGATTGTCCAGTCGTCCATCGCCACCTTCTCTTCACCTTTCTGACAGTCCCTTCCCTCTCGGGGTGGGTACAGGGCTTCACGTTTTCCTGCGTGGAGCTTCCACGGGGTCCGGCAATCATACATTCACATTCTGATCGTGTGCTAATTCTGTGAACTTGGGGCTTGAGGGGGCCTTGAGGCAGTTGGATGTTAATGTTTTCTTATGAAGATGTTCAAACTTATATAAAAGTGAGAGAAGACATAGGAATTCCTGTCATCCAAATTTACCAATTATTATTTTGGCACTACTTGCTGTTTTTGTTTTTGTTTTTTTTTTGAGAGGGAATCTGGCTCTGTCGCCTAAGCTGGAGTGCAGTGGCACGATCTCGGTTCACTGCACCTGGTTCAAGTGATTCTCCTGCCTCAGCCTCTAGAGAAGCTGGGACTACACGTGCACACCACCACGCCCAGCTAATTTTTGTATTTTTTAGTAGAGACGGGGTTTCACCGTGTTAGCCAGGATGGTCTCGATCTCCTGACCTCCTGATCCACCTACCTCAGGCTCCCAACGTGCTGGGATTACAGATGTGAGTTACGGCACCCGGCGTATTTTTATTTTTTAACTTAAAGGATTAAAACAAATCCTAGGCATCATGACACTTCAGGATTGTCAAAAGACAAAATTACAACACATTTAGTGAGAAGATCTTAGTTGGCATTTATTTGTGAATCTAGAATGGGACATCAATTCTGGAAAATAGCACGAGTGTTCTCGATAAGCTGAGCAGAGGAGGAGGTTGTTTTCAGAGACAAAGGGCTGAGAAAAGCAGAAACAGAAAATGAAAAGCTAGTTGGTTAAATTGATTAACTTGATTAAATTTCTTAGTTAAGCTGGGCAAGGTGGCTCATGCCTGTAATCCCAGCACTTTGGGAGCCTGAGGCGGGCGGAGCACTTGAGGTTGGGAGTTCGAGACCAGCCTGACCAACATGGAGAAACCCTGTCTCTACTAAAAATACAAAATCAGCTGGGTGTGGTGGTGCGTGCCTGTAATCCCAGCTACTCGGGAGGCTGAGGCAGGAGAATTGCTCGAACCCAGGAGGCGGAGGTTGCAGTGAGCCAAGATCGTGCCATTGCACTGCAGCCTGGGCACAAGAGTGAAACTCTGTCTCAAAAAAAAATTATAAGTTAAGGGTTAAAGTAGAGGGGACTTCCTTTATCAGGTGGGCTAAAACTGGCCTGTTTGGGGATTTGGCTATTATTTCTCTCCTGATGTCTCAGAAGATCAGATGACAACTGAGTTTTGGCTTGGAAGCATGGACCTTCAGCATGAGTGACTCGCATTTTTGTTTGGTCTATTGAAGCTAGTGCAGGAGTTCGGTCCAAACCAATGGCCTCCTGTGAATTTTATCTACCAGGGTGCGTGTGTGTAAAAACCGGAAACACTGCTGACATGACTGCAATACTTTATCACAATACTTTTTAATCACACTTTACAAAAACAACCGTAATTCTAGGCTCCTGTCCACGAGTTGGTGCATAGTCAATCCAGGGTAACTGTGGGTTTGTTGGAATCAGGATGTAGTTAAGTGATTGCTACTGTCTTTGAAATCTCTCTTAATTTAGAACTGTTCCCCCTTCTGGCCCAGTTTGGTGGCTTTCACCTATAATCCTAGCACTTTGGGAGGCCGAGGCCAAGGCGGGTGGATCACGAGGTCAGGAGTTCAAGAGCAGACTGGCCAACATGGTGAAAACCCCGTCTCTACTAAAAAGTAGAGAAATCTGCTGGGCATGGTGGCATGTGCCTGCAATCCCAGCTACTTGGGAGGCTGAGGTTGGAGAACTGCTTGAACCGGGACCCGGGAGGTGGAGATTGCCGTGAACCAAGATCGCATTACTTCAGCCTGAGCTACAGAGCGATACTCCATCTCAAAAGAAAAAAAAAAAAGAACTGTTCCCCCTTCCACTCCAGTTTGTTTTTTTCTTGGTGAAATCAATTCAGTGAAGAAACTTAAGTCTAGTTCTGTTGATCATCCCACCATCTGAATTTGTCCGTTTGCTTTTTTTGTGGTCTTATTTTACTTGTTTCTCTTTTTTTATTTTAAACTATTTAAAAATAGAGATAGGGTCTTGCTATATTACCCAGACTGGTCTTAACCTCCTGGGCTCAAGTGATCCTCCTGCCTTGGCCTCCCGAAGTACTGGGATTACAGGTGTGAGCCATCGGTGCCCAGCCAGCCACTTTATTCTTTTGATGGCTGAATAATGTTCCTCTTGTTGCCCAGGCTGGAGTGCAATGTTTTGCTCTCGGCTCACCGCAACCTCTGCCTCCCAGGTTCAAGCAGTTCTCCTGCCTCAGCCTCCCAAGTAGCTGGAATTACAGGCATGTGCCACCATGGCCAGCTAATTTTGTATTTTTAGAGATGGGGTTTCTCCATGTTGGTCAGGCTGGTCTTGAATTCCCAACCTCAGGGCCTCCCAAAGTGCTGGGATTACAGGCCTGAGCCACCGTGCCCGAACTTCCACTTTTTACCTTTTATAAGTAACACTGCTAGCAACATTTGTATACAAGTTTTTGTGTGGCGTGAGCCACCGTGCCCGAACTTCCACTTTTTACCTTTTATAAGTAACACTGCTAGCAACATTTGTATACAAGTTTTTGTGTGGCGTGAGCCACCGTGCCCGAACTTCCACTTTTTACCTTTTATAAGTAACACTGCTAGCAACATTTGTATACAAGTTTTTGTGTGGACGATCTCGGCTCACCGCAACCTCCGCCTCCTGGGTTCTATTTTTATTTCTATTGGCAGTGGAATTGGTGGCTCAAAAGGTGAGTCTGTTTAATCTTTTGAGAAACTGACTTTTCCAAAATGGCTATACCATTTAACATTCCTACCACCAATGTATGAGGGTTCCAGTTTCTCCATATCTATACCAGCACTTATTATTATCTGTCTTTTTGATTTTAGTCATTCTAATTGGTATGAACTGGTATCTTTTACGGTCTTTATTGGCCATTTGTAGAACTTTGGAGAAATTTTTTTTTTTTTTTGAGACGGAGTTTCGCTGTTGTTACCCAGGCTGGAGTGCCATGGCGCGATCTCGGCTCACCGCAACCTCCGCCTCCTGGGTTCAAGCAATTCTCCTGCCTCAGCCTCCTGAGTAGCTGGGACTACAGGCACGTGCCACCATGCCCAGCTAATTTTTTTGTATTTTTCAATAGAGACGGGTTTCACCATGTTGACCAGGATGGTCTCGATCTCTTGACCTCGTGATCCACCCACCTCAGCCTCCCAAAGTGCTGGGATTATAGGTGTGAGGCACCGCGCCCAGCCAAGGGGTGTAAGTTTTTAATATATTCTCACTGCAATTCCCTTATCAGATATCCTGATTTTTTAAGAGGCAATGTCACTCTGTCACTCAGGCTGGAGTGCAGTGGTGCAGTGGCACAGTCATGACTCACTGCAGTCTCAACCCCCTGGGATCAAGTGATCCTCCTGCCTCAGCCTTCCGAGTAGTCACAGGCGCATGCCACTTTGCCCCACTAAGTTTTTACAATGTTTTTTTGTAGAGATGGGATCTTGCTGTGTTGCCCACAGCAAGTCCAAATCTGGTCTCAAACTTCTGGCTGCTGCTGGTTTATTTATTTATTTTTTGTAAAGTCACAGTTTCGCCATATTGCCCAGGGTGGTCTGGAACTCATGGGTCCGAGTGATCCTTTTGCCTTGGCCTCCCAAAGTGCTGTGTCCAGGTGTGAGCCAGAACCACCAGCAGATATCTTTTCTTTTTTTTTGAGACGGAGTCTTTTTCTGTCACCCAGGCTGGAGTGCAGTGGCCCAATCTCAGCTCACTGCAACCTCCACCTCCTGGGTTCAAGCAATTCTCCTGCCTTAGCCTCCCAAGTAGCTGGGACTACAGACGTGCACCACTATACCCGGCTAATTTTTATAATTTTAGTGGAGATAGGGTTTCACCCTATTGGCCAGGCTGGTCTTGAACTCCTGACCTTGTGATCTGCCTGCATCAGCCTCCCAAAGTGATGGGATTGCAGGTGAGAGCCAAAGCACCCAACCAAGGTATCTGACTTTTTAACTGCTACCTGTTTTTGTTCAGCTTGCAAACTAAGAATGGCTTTTAACATTTTTACATAACTGGTAAAAATCAAAAGAATGGACTTGGTGACCCATGACAATTATATGTGATTTTTTGTCAGAGTCTATAAATACAGTTTATTTTTATTATTTATTATTTATTTATTTATTTATTTTTTTGAGACGGAGTTTCACTCTTGTTACCCAGGCTGGAGTGCAATGGCGTGATCTTGGCTCACCGCAACCTCCGCCTCCTGGGTTCAAGCAATTCTTCTGCCTCAGCCTCCCGAGTAGCTGGGATTACAGGCACTCGCCACCATGCCCAGCTAATTTTTTATATTTTTAGTACAGACAGGGTTTCACCATGTTGACCAAGATGGTCTTGATCTCCTGACCTCGTGATCCACCCGCCTCAGCCTCCCAAAGTGCTGAGATTACAGGCTTGAGCCACCGTGCCCGGCCCTATTTTTTATTTATTTTTTTTAGATGGAGTTTCGCTCTTGTTACCCAGACTGGAGTGCAA